AATTATTCCACAATAAGTGCAGATAAACCTAGAAAGTAGGGCTTCACTCTTCGTTTTCAAGATTGGAGCAAATTAGGGTTTTCACAATTTTCCGCCGGATGAATTTTCGGTATGGAGCAAGGATCAAATTTGGTGATTAAAAGTGACTTTTAAGTGGGAAATAATATGTGATTAGGAGCAATGATATAAAGTTAGTGAATGGGAAGTAAAAACCCTAGTACGTGTGTTTTTAAGAAAAACGGCGCGAATCGGCGGGTCCCGCGCACTACCGATTCAACGCACCAATTGACCACCACTTTCTTACCATACAAGTTTATTGATATTTGAGTAAAATATCCTCTTAATTGTCAGCTTGTTTGACCGAAAATTAGAGGCTAGAAATAGCAAGGAAAGAAAGAGAAAAATGAAAGGTGGAGGTGGCGACACTTGTCGCCATCCTAGAGTTTCTTGGCCAAGTGAGTAACTAACCTTCTTAAACCAATTTTCTGCACTTTCCCTTCATTATTTCTGCTCCATAGCCGACCAAAGAGAGAGAGAAAAGAGAGAACAAGAACAACTTTCTTCTTCTTGAATCTTAGCAATCCAAGTGACAAATCAAATTTCCAAACCGGTTAAAGTGCTAATTGTGAGTTGGGAAGCTAGAGGAACTAGAAATTTTCAAAGGAAGTGGAGTATCACTCTTCCAAGCTTTGTTTTTGAGGTACTAAATCTGATCATGGTCCTTGATCTTTTAAATCTTGCTTTAAGATGTTATTTAGCTTAAGTTTTGGCTTGATTTCAAGATGCGCAAGTAGTTGTGATGATTATTGGATGAGATATGCAAGTTAGGGTTTAATAATTTTCTGCCTAAACTTGTTGTATAGTTAGTATATGTTGTATATAAGGTTATATAAGGGGCTTTGGTAGTGATTGGAACAAGAAATTTGAGAAAGTTTCATTGAAGACCAAAAATTCCAGAATCTGGAAAATTTGTTCCCCTTTCTGTCCGATTTTGTAGCCCTATGTTAGAGGCCGAATTGGCCTTGGCTTAAAACATGAAAGTTGTAGGGAATGACATTTTAGAAGTGCCTACAAAATTTCAGGTCAATCGGAGTAGCGTAGCATGAGAAAAGTTGAAATTACCCTTGCTGTCCTGTTTCTACCCGAACCTGAGAACTGCGACTGTAATTGGTTATTTTGGGTTGGAATGCTTCGGATTTGATTGTTGAGGTCTTCTGATGAAATATAGCCCTGTATCTTAGCTTTCGTATGGCTTTGGAATTACTTGATTTGAACTTCGGTAGCCTGTTTTATGATGTTTACGCCAGAATGCGTTTTGTGAATCTGTTATTGCGGTTTTGGTGTAGTATATTACATTTTTGACCTAGTTACACTCGAAACGAGATTGAGTGGTCTTCTTCAACATTGTAGCCCCTTAAGTCCTGAATATTCCTGTAAAATTTTAGGTCAAACGGATTAGTGTATCCTGAGTTATAGACAAAACACTCAGGCCTATTTTTGACATTAGTTTGTGCTGCGTTTTGAAGTTAGCCTCTGACCGTGCATTTTTCCGTTTTGATCCCGTATGAACTGGGTGCTGATCCCTTCATAAGCAATTTAGATCTTGGTCTCAACTTCAAAACGGTATAAAGTACGTCGAAATCCGAGTTCCGTAGCTCCTGTTATGACCAAAATAATATTGATCGTCAGAACTGCTTTGTATGTGGACAGTTCTGACGGGTACTTTGACACTCAAATTTCGTTCTGTTATGAGTGGATTCAGGTCTTGGCCAAAACATCAAAGTTTTAGCTTTATGTCTCATCTTTCTAATGCCTTTGGAATTTCCTGATTTTGATTTGTGAGCTGGGAGTTATGGTCCAGCGAACAACCCTGTTCGTCACCCTAAGACGTAAATTTCTGGTACTGTTTTCCACAATTTCGACCTGCTTCCATTCAGATCTAGATTAAAGTGTCTTCATGAGATTTGTAGCTCTTTCTCATAGCTTCGAAACGGTATCTTTCTCACTTTGATCCGACATTTCTAGCCTAATCTTTGATCAAAACGATTTAAAATGGCAGATTTGGCCGTTTCCTTTTGCCGTTCCGCGCACTTGCATGTGCCAATTTTGCCGTTTTCGTACTTGAGTGTGTCGGCTTTTGCCGTTTTGCTTGTTTTAAGTATGTTAGTAGCCGTTTGTGATATATTGTAACACAATCTTCTATTTCAGACGGTGGTGAGTTAGGTGGAGCCGGTAGGGCCTACTAGCTACTTTTCGCGACGTGAATTTTGTCCTTTTGTTATCCTTGTTCGTTGAGTAAGTATTCAGGCCGCTCTTGTGTGTTAGTTGCTTATGTGTTTCGATATATATGAAGAGGGTACCTAGGTGAGGGTGTACTTTATCGCACTCGATCTAAACCCTAACTTACGCATATATTTGTACATGGCTTGTGTATATGAGCAATTTCGGAACTAAAACCCTTGAGCTTGTGGCTCGGGGTGACTTTTGAGAAATTTTGTGAAGTTTGTGAAGTTTGTGAGTTTGGGGCCCGATCTCAATACCTAGATGGACTATTCGAGCCGGTTAGGACTTGGTCGAAGTCAGTCCAACCTGGATTGAGGTCACCAAGTTTGTGAATCCGGTTCACCGATTATGTGGACCAAGTTTGTGACCCGAGCTTGTGACTCAAGCTCAAGTTTGTGATTTCGTTCGCCCGGGCAAGTTTGTGAGGTGACTGGCCAGAGAGGGTGATAAGGTGTACGGTGGGAGAACAAGTGGAGTTCTACGGACCATTATTTGTGGTCGACGGAGTGTCGGCAGGAGATCATACATGACACATGAATTCGCTTTGGAGCCACCCGTATCCTTATTATGTGATGTTATTTTTCTGCTTTTGCTTTACTCTTACTGAGTAACTGTTGTTACGTGAGATTTACGCTTTTGCCCCTGTTTACTTACTAAGCATATAGATTACCCCTTTCCTTTTGTTTTCCTTAGCAGGGGGCCGACGCGGGGATCGCTCGGGAAGGTGTTTAGTGTTTCGATTATAGACGAGTGAACTTGTACTTGTTTTAGTTGACTAGTAAGATGTATATTTGAGTTTTATCTTGTAATTTATTTGAGGACTGTAGTGCTTGAGTGAGTCCCGGCGAGAGCTGGGCAGGCGGTCCGCCAAACCCTTTGGTACGCCCTAGGGGGAGGTGGGGCCGTCACACCATAGGTTCCAGCATTATTGCAGGTTTCGACAAAATGGGCAACATGTTGTTTTGGATTATCTTTCCCATCGAACTGTTGAAACTTTCATGCTCTTGGTGCTCCTTAGGGTTCGCATGGCTTCCTTCATGAGCGTGATCTTTTTGAGTGAGTAGTTGAGCGATAAGAGCATCTTGGTCCTTGATGTGTTTCATCATGATTTCCATCATTTTGGACATGTTCGAAACTTGTTCTTCAAGATTTAAAGTGTTTGTCATCATAGCAGGCATTACAGCAGAAAAAGCAGCAGAATCTTCAATAGAAAATCTTGATTAAAGAGTTTCATGTGAAGGGGTTGATCCAGTGCTTGATGAATCATCATCATGCTTAGAAAATTTGGATTCAGATCCAAATTCGAGCATGGCAAGAGCCTTCTCAATTGAGACAGGGACGTCTTGGATTCCCATCGTGGAAGAATAGCTCATTGGTGATGTTGAATCGAAGACGGGAGTTGGCGCCGATGGAGCTTCCATGCTACTTTGGGTGGAAGTTCTCGTCATACTACTTGTCACAGGACCAATAGCGCGAGTATTAGTGGCAACATGTGCAGTTTCCTGAATAGGTTTGACATTAGTAGCGTTAGAATGAGCAGTCATGAACTTGTTGTTCTTTGGTGCCATTGGTGATATATGTAGTTGAATATTCGAGGAGAAGAGATAGAAGACAGAGATGGTCTCACCGGACATGCCAAATATTTGTACGCTATAAAATTTCAAATCAGCAGAAACAAAAAATATACACGATAAATATGTGATATATAAATTTAAGAAAAATATGTGAGTACAATCTTTGGGGTTTTCTCGAACTCGTAGAGAGTTTTCCTCGATTCTCCTCCTCGAACGCCAATCCAAGGGCTTCGCAGCTTGTTCTTGGATCCATCACCGATTCCTTCAAATCTTGATATAGAAGATTTGAAAAATTTTAGAAGATATTCGAAAACTCAAGTCTTGATATATGGGAGACTTGAAGAGGTTGAAGATCTGGACCTTCGTAGTTTGGAGCTTCAATGCTTTGAGCGTATGAGATGCCTCTTGGTGTCTCTGTGTATGTCCTTGATTTGGTTGAAAGACTCCTATTTATAACTGTAGCAAGAGATAGAGGTTGAAAACTTGTGTATCACTTTACTTGTCTTGCAAGACGCGCAGTTATATTAGGACTGTGCCAGTCAAATATTATCTCTTCATTTTATATTTATCAATAAAGAGATAAGTAATTTCTCGATTGACCAAACTCGTGGGGACACGTGACGTGGCGCCGTTTGACTGGATAAACGATTGCAGTATATAAGAAATATACATGGACTAAACAACTCTAAATATTATCTTTTCAATAAGAAATAAATATTTAGGTATTTATCCAATAGACATGTGATATGATATGATTTGGTTGGTGGAGATTTCCCTGCAATTTGAATTGATTTGGAACACCTCATCTTGACACGTGGCAAAATATAATTGACTATTTAATAACCAATCTTTCTAAGTATACATGCCATATGGCAATATCCAATTGAATAAGAATAAGCCATAAAAATAATTTATAGACCAATGGTAACTTTAAGAATTAATTAAAATCCCATTGTCTACAGCGAACAGCTCGCAAGGTGTTGGAGAGTAACTTTTATTGGCCCATCCTTTTTAAAGATTCTTATTTGTTTTGCAAATCTTTTGATAAGTGTCAAAGAGTAGGAAATATTTTTCGTAGGGACCAAATGTTTCAAACCCCCAATGTTGTTTGTTAAAATTTTTTATGTTTGGGGGATAGATTTCATGGGTCCTTTTCTCTCGTCTTTTGGTTTCCTATACATCTTACTTGCGGTTGATTATGTCTTTAAATGGGTGGAAGCCAAAGCCACCCGTACTAACGATTCTAGAGTAGTTGCAGAGTTTCTAAAATCTGACATTTTAGTCCGTTTTGGGATGCCGAGAGCTGTGGTAAGTGATAGAGGAACACATTTTTGTAATAAGACTATTATTGCCCCGTTTCGAAAATACAGCATACTCCATAAAGTGTCCACACCGTATCACCCGCAGACAAATGGTCAAGCCGAAGTGTTGAACAGGGAGGTCAAATCAATATTGGAGAAGATGGTGCGCCCCAATAGAAAGGATTGGAGGTTGAAATTAGAAGATGCACTATGGACGTATCGCACCGCGTATAAGACGCCGATTGGGATGTTCCCGTACAGACTAGTCTTCGGTAAGGCTTGTCATCTTCCTGTGAAGTTTGAACACAAGGCGTTCTGGGCGGTAAACCAGTACAACTTTAACCTTATAGAAGCAGGGGTCCAGAGAAAATTGCAATTACAAGAATTGAAAGAAATTAAGAATGAGACATACGAGAATGCCACTATTTATAAGGAGAAGAGCAAAATCTTTCATGATCAACAAGTCTTAAGGAAATCATTTGTAGTGGGGCAAAAAGTTCTCTTGTACCACTCGAGACTTAAACTTTTTTTTGGTAAGTTGCGTTCTCATTGTATTGGTCCATTTGTCATTTCTAATATGTTTCATTATGGTGCAGTGGAGATCCAAAGTTTAAAGACGGGAAGAATTTTGTGGTGAACGGCCATCGTCTCAAACCTTATTATGAAGGATTCTCTATTGAGGAAATCAAACTCATACACCTCAAAGATCCAATTTATCTTACTTGAGGGTTCCGACCATGTCTAACCAAAGATGTTAAAGAAAGACGCTACTTGGGAGGCAACCCAAGGTTATTTGTTTTAGTTTTCGTATGTTTTTGGAGTTTTTATTAAGTGTTGGTATCAATTAATAGTTTATTGTTTCGTGGCAGAAAGATGGCAGTTAGACGTACCCACACTAAATGGTCACGCCTAGAAAAGGAAGTTTGAAGGCGACTGTCAGAAGACTCCAAAATAGTTAAGGAAACAAAAATTCACGTCCGCGGTTAGAAGACTCTATAGCAGTTAGGCGTGTCCACGCCAGGTGGTCACGCTTAAGAATAAAAAAATTTCGATAGATGGTCAGAAGACTAGTAGTTAGTTAGGCATGCCCACGCCTAGTACAGGGGTTCTTTGTTAAAAAAAAAAGCGTGAAAAGATGAAATTGCCCTTGAAAAAAAACCACCCCATGATTGACCTACTTCTCTTCTTCTTTCTTTTTCTTCTTTTTCTTTCTTTCTTCTTCTTCTTTTTCTTTCTTTCTTCTTCTTCTTCTTTCCTTTCACCTTGCCTGCCGCCGCACCACGCCATAGCCAAGGTTCGCCGTCGCCTTCGTCCCTGTCTGCCGCCTCACTCTCCTTCACTCTCAATCGCCGCTTCAATATCCATCGCTGTCCGCCATTGGCGCCGCCGTCGCTTCACACTTGATACGTGCGCCGTCCCGTCAAGATGCGCCACCAGCGCTCACATCGCGCAGTCAGCAGGCCACGCAAACGCCCCTGCTGCGCATCAACCCGGCTGCCCGCTCGTGAGCTGCGCGCGTCTTCAGCTCGCCCATCGCTCGACCCAGCAGTTGTGCAACCTAGCGTGCGACCCCGTTCCCGCGATCCAAAGCGCATGCAGCTCGCGCGTCCTCTACGCACGACCCAGCAGCAAGTCAGCGGCATCAGCGCCCACAGCGCGCGACCCCCGTGCGCACGCCAGCCCACCTAGCAACGTCCCCAGCGCGAGCCCGCACGCTTCAATCCCTGGCATCAAGCCTGCATGTGCGCTTCTTCAACCCCTGGCATCAAGCCTGCTATTTATCAAGTTTTTAACATTTAACCAATATATAAGCAATTATCACCAAAAGAGTTCAAATATAGCTTTAATCTTCTCAAAACATACCAAAAGTTCATGCTAAACTTTTACAAAATGCACGTTAAATATTCACTTATCAAATTCCCCCATACTTGAATCACTGTTTGCCCTCAAGCAATTTCACACATAACTTACCACAATGATTCAAGAGATAAAACAATATATATACATTTGTCAAATTTAATTCCTCAAAACTTAGAAACCAATCATTGTGCCATTACTCAAATTACACTAAATACTCATAATATTCAATTAAATAAAAATAATTAAGCTTTAATTTCAACAAATTCAACTCAATCTCTCATTCTATTCTAATTTCACAAATAAGTAAATCACATAGTTAATTCTATGGCTTTCCTCATCCCATGACCATTAAAACTTAACAGTTGAGAGGGATTTATTCACACTTCATTTTACTTAAATAGTGAAAACGCCTTTTTACGCGAAAATCAACACTTTTAGGCGAAAATTTCCGGTTACTCAACATTTCACTTATTCAAATTGTTAAACATACTCTTAATTTCAATACCTTTTTACGCGAATGTCGATATTTGTAAATGCCAACTCCCGGTTACTTAGTATGTGAATCATTGAAGTAGAAAAATAATATCAATATATATATGTATATATTTTTTTCTCTTTTTTTTTGAAATTTTCTTTTCCCTCTAAGTATAATTAAAGGAAGAACTGGTCTTGTCTTGACTATATCAATTACTTACTTATAAAATTAAGTAAAAATGAGAAATATCATTACACATGCAAAATTCTAAGCATAATTTTTCTTATTTAACCGAATATGCTTTCTAAAATGTAAAAATCCTAATTGCATAATGACTAATTTCAGGCAAAATGAGGACTAAACCTTCCCAAAATACATATAATATCTTATTCAATGGAAGAATTAGGTACTTAAAATTGAACATTTTGACCATTAAATTGAAATATTGAAAAATATTTTAGAAAAATTTTGACAGATTTTCCCCATAAAAATGGACAAAACTCCCTGCCAACAATCTCAATTTCAAGAAAATTAACCTCATGACAATATTTTCAAATATAATTCCAATATTTTTAAGTCATAGACAACTAAAATCATGCATTTCAAGATACAATCATCCATAAGATAAAGTAATCCCTCCCCCACACTTAAATTTAACAATGTCCTCATTGTAAGGAAGGTAATAAAAACTGAAACTTCCCTCAAAATAAGTGGTGATTCAATTTGAAGCCATTAATCCTCACGATCATCCAAATTCTGTGCAAAATGAAACCAAAAGTACGAAAAAACATAAGTAGCACAAGATGATCGAAATCGAAAGGAAAACTACAAATTTTAACGTAACACAGTAAAAGAAAAATAAAGAAACAATGAAAATGAAGATCTTCATAGCTGCTCGGAACGAGGGTCTACGGCCTACTCAACTCCATGAGGACCATGTGATGTACCAATATTACCCTCCTCATGGTGAGACGGCGGAATAGGTGACCGGCGGATATGAAAATGATTCTCGATCGCACGAAGACGGCGATCATGTCTGTCGAGTCGCTCTGTCATCACCTGCTCCGTCTGGTCAATGCGCTCGACGACTCGTGTCTCCATACAGCAAATGGCATTGAGGAGCTCTTGCCACTTGGAGAGCGGTGGAAGAGGTGGTTGCGGAATGGGAGGAGGAAGAGTCTGTTGTGCCTCCGTCTCTTGAGTTTCAGCTTGTGGTTCAGTGTGAGGTGGAGGCTGAGCGGAAGTCGATGCTTCTCCAGTATCCCGAACCAGAGCAGCTCCAAAATCCGTAAGGATACTCAAATCTTTGAGTATCGAGGCACTGACCTCCTCGACAGACCTAGTGATGATAGCTCGCTCGGTTCTAAGAGGAATTTTGAACTTCTCAAAAATGAGGGATAGCAGTCGAGGGAACCCAAAGCAAGTTTCGCCGACCCTCATGCGAGCGGTGGTCCGCATGTAGCTGATGATGATGCTAGGTAGTGGAATACCAGTTAGCTGCCCACCCAAACCATGCATCATCTTATCTAGGAAGTAGAGGTCACTGTTGCGGAGCTCCCGTTTTCCACTTCTTTTTGGTACCACATTGAAGGCGAAAAAATAGAATATCAAGTGGTACCTAGGCTCGAAGGAGTCGGCATATACGGTGAGTTTTTTCGAACTTTCTCGCTCCTTATATTGACCCTTTAGGCATGCTACCGCTTTTCCCACCTGCCAAAGATCACGTGCCTTGCGTCTTTGAGTTTGACAAATTTTCTCACTGTATCCCGATTGAGAGCCACTCTCTTGCCTCGAACCCAGGAAACGATGAGGTTGCCATTGTGATTCTGTCTGTTTTCTACATTGGCGCAGAACTCCCGGATCAGATTGGGATAGTAATGCTTGGGCAACTGTAGTATATTCTCCGATCCGAGTCGCTTGAATGCCATGGAGATCTTATAGTGGTCATCCACCTCCGGTGCCAAATGTTTTTCAACAATGATCTCATTGTCCAAACCGGCCTCATACCACTGTTGATTCTCGAGTGAGGTGAATCGCGTGGTATCATAGTCTGGAAGAGGCTCTTCGCGGCTAGTAGACGCGGTCTTCCGGCGAGAACAAGGTGGGGACTGAGGTGAAGGGGAGTCCTCCACTGGTGACTCCTCATGCAAGGAAGGTGTGTGTTCTTCACTCGAAAACGGCGAAGGTGTACGAATAATAGCCCTTCTTGTGCGAACCATCGTGCCTATATAAAAAACAAGATTATTTGATATCAGAAACAATCTAACTCCTTGGAAATACATGTGAAAAATGATGAGAAGTAATTTGAAAAAATTTCGGCAGAGTTTCCTCTTGAAAAAGGATAAAACACCCTGCCAAGAATTTCCAAATTCAAGCTAATACCCTATTTTACCAATTCTCAAACTTAATTGCAACATGTATGATATCAATTTCAATCCAAAATCGCATTACATGGCTTGAAAAATCCACTCGCCACTCCATCTCTTTAAATTTAAACAATAAGCTAGAAAAAGGTAATAACTAGTAACATAATAGACTTGCAAAGTCATTGGATGCACCATCAAGCTTGAAAAATCTCATTAACTTAACTTTACAACTCTCATGCTACTATCATATTCAACTTGGATCATTCAACATTCTCACTTGAAGATTTCATACCAATTTATTGGAATAAGCATATGTTATCTTTTACTGGGCATAACAAGAATCTTCACTTCTTAAAAACAAGTCAAACTGATCCAAAGAAACAAGAAATTGCATGCAAAAAGTACAATGTGCCTTAGCCAAATATGTGAGAAAATTATACAAGAAAATATCACAATATTAACAAATTTCTCAATTCTGAGCATACAAGCATTTCTAATGACATATATTAGCACAATGTAACACAATTATGGCATTAAAATCCAACATCTATGCATTTCCCACATTTATAGAAAAATAGAAAAAATTAAGAATTAAGAAATGTAAAATTTCAAAGAAAGTTGAAAATTGCTACCTCAAATGTGTAGAGTGATGATGGAAGATGATAATGATGCAAAAATGAAAGAGAAACAAGGCCAAATCCGACTCAAAATGGAAGAAATCAGTTCGGCCCTTTTGTTTTCTAATGAAGGTCAAAATCCACTTTTGATGATGTTTTGTGGTGAAATAGCTTGGGGTTTTTGATCATATGAGGGTTGGTGAGGTGTTTATGGTGACAAATTGGAGAATTGATGGATAAACGGGAAGATTAGAGAGAGGGGCTAGGGTTTCTGTGAGAGAGAAGAAGAAGAAACTGGAAAATGAGGAACCGAGGCCGCGGTTCTGTTCATATCGCGAACAGATCCGAGGTTGGATTGGTTCTGGCAGCCCTCAGATCCGACAGGGTTAGGATCCGTCACTCCAGAAG